AAAATTCCATGACTTTTCCAGGTTTTTCATGACCGTACGAACCCTGCTCAGAGTTATGTTATTATCTCAGCATGTTATGACAAGTAAATGGGAGATACAAAGTTTTGTCCTACAGACACAGGCTCTCTTTGAGTCACACACTGGACACAACATAGGCGAGGTGTTAAAATCCGCTGTTTCAGAGTGGGAGCTAGACATGACGAATAACAACAATCACCCGGGCACCGCTGTTGTTAGTGACAATGCAAGAAACATGGGTGTAGCGGTGAAAAAGGCTGGTCTGTCCCCACACATAAAGTGTTTCGCTCACAGCTTAAACCTTGCGTCCCAGGCAGGTTTGAAGGTAAACCGTGTGAGTCATCTGCTTGGAAGAGTGAGACGTGTAGCAGCGTTTTTTCACCGCAGTTCAACTGCCACAGCTATGCTGACCTCCAAGCAGCATATGTTAAACTTGCCAGTACATAAACTGATAATGGATGTGGTAACACGATGGAACAGCTCACTTGACATGATTGAGCGCTACCTGGAGCAAGAACAGGCAGTCGCTGCAGCCCTTCTGAGTGTTGAAGTCAGGCGCAACGCTCGTGAAATAGACACTAGACACAGTGGAAGAAGCAGCACCGGGTAGCATGTAGTTGGACAGCTGGAGTCTGAAATTGACCTGCCACAACGAGAACATGCAGCTGTGGGGGGTGTCTCTTCTCCATCCAAAAAGACTGCTCTTGAAGATCTCCTTGGGGGTTCCTTTATTCAGGTGGACAGCAGAAGACAGCCAATGGCTGAGATCGAAGCAGACATTGACTCGTACCGCAAAGAGACCTTTATCTCACTCTCCGCTGGTCCTCTCGAGTGGTGAAGAAGCAACTCACATAGTTACCCACTGCTGTCAACCTTGGCCAAGTTATATCTCTCTGTCCCAGCAACCTCAGTCCCAAGTGAGAGTTTTTTTTCGACAGCAGGGGACATTGTAAATGCCCAGAGATCCCAGCTTCTACCCGAAAATGTTGATATGCTCATTTTCCTAAATAAAAACTGTCTCTGAGTGAGTGAGCGAGTCCGTGAGTAAATGAGTGAATGTGTGAGTGAATCAGTGAGTGAGCTGACATACTTATTCAGCTCTAGGTCCAGCTGCAATAAGTAGGCTGCTATTTTTATTTTTACTGGGTTGTTTTTGTTTTCAAGAATTGACCCATCTCAAAGCCCACCCTCTTGTCTTGACCCTTCATTCACAATTGTTGCTTTCATAGCACAACAAAGCAACAGCGTGTGATTGGAGGCAAAAGAAAAGAGGCCTTAAAATAGGTCAATTGAGGGAGTGACTTACAATCCTCAAAACCCGATTGTCTGAGATACTGGAAAATTGACTGGGTTTTTTTTGCACTTAAAAGTTGATACCTAATCTACGAGGTAGTTAGGTAGTAGCATAGAGAATGTTAGAAAAATAATGATGTTACCTGTTACCTCATACCATACCTCATACCTCTAAGCAACAGTTATGATTAGAGGATAAACAAAGAGGACAGGATATGATGTGGTTAATTTGTTCATCATTGTAATGTTCAATCACTGTTTAATAAACACTTATGGCGTCTTCATTTGTCTTTTTTTTTAATATATATATAAATATCGCAATAAACATTGTACCGTGAACTTAATATCGTGATATTATCGTATCGTGAGATTTTGATATCATTACATCTCTATTACATAGTATTACAGATAGTCAATTTAAAATGGTGACTGTGCAATAACAGCTGTCAACCAGCTTGGTATGCAAATGAGTGTCCGAACTTATTTTCCAAGTGCATTTTTTTATTTTGGTTGTGCATTCAGCATGTTGTTGGCTTTTGAGAATGGACAGATGTATTCAGTCTAGTGCTAGCTTGCTAGTTTGCTGTAAAGTCCAGGCGGGGACATCTCGACCTGCTTAAATGGAGCACTAAATGTTATAGCTGTGTGAGTACCTTTCATTGAGTTGAATGTGAATGCAAATTCAAGGCTATTTCCAGTTTATTATTCTAACTTCACAAATGTGGTTCTGCATCTTAGGGGGACTCGAAGCATGACACAAACATCTTCTGTCTGGCTGTGTTACTGAGCAGCACTCTGGTCTACAACAGTCGAGGGACGATCGACAACAGGGCTGTAGAGGAGCTGCAGTATCCTTCTAAACATTTATCTAGATTTTAATTTATTAATTAATTAATTAATTTGTTTATTTGCAAAAGAAAGAGATTGTTCAGATGTTTACCACCATTTTACACAGGAAAAACGTGCAAATGTGCTTGCTTTGTGAATGCTTTATATCAAAAAAATATTTATATAGTTACATGTACTACAATGTAAAAACATGACTGGCAGAAGTTAGATATATAGTTCAGTCATGAAACTCTAGATGGCGCATTCTGACGGGTTGTTAACGTAACTGATGATATATGATTGAATTAATTTTAATCGCAATATTCCATTATGCAGATTTTGGCAGCTAAACCCTCTTCTATCTCTAAACCTAACAATTCAAGTATACACAATATAAAGAAAAAACATGATAGACAGGCAAGTGTAATCACAATAACTTATTCCAAAAGTGGCAACAAGCAGTACCAAGGTAGTCCAATCAAAGTTTAATTTGAAGTGCTGTCTGATGCTATACAACAGTATAGAGCAGGGTTCCTCAAATCTTGCCCTGGAGGGCCAATGCACTGCAGAGTTTAGCTCCAACCCTGATCAAACTCACCTACCTGTGATTTTCTAATGATCCTGAAGACACTGATTAGCTTGCTCAGGTTTGTTTGATTAGGGTTAGAGCTAAACTCTGCAGGAAAGTGGATCTCGTGGGCCAGATTTGAGGATCCCTGGTATAGAGTAATGTATAGAGTAGTGTTACATGATTTACTGGTACTAAAAAGGTATCGCAATACCCTGCTTTTAAAATTGGTATGATTCCTCATTTTACTAGTACCGATTCTTTAAGAATGACAGCAGTTTAATAAGAGCCGTATTTCCTGAGTTGTGTAGACATGCAGCACCAGGGCAGAGTGTGTGCAGCGCTCTGCTTCTCTCCCTGCAGGCACACTGGCCACGCCAACTTTATATATCCACACAACGCAGAACTGCCTAACTGTATTGACAAGACAAGAAACATGCATGAATAAGATAATAAAGCATGGGATGTGTTTGATGTTAAAAAGAGTTAAGCTCAATAAACCTTGAAAAAAAACTTTATCACACACCTGAAGCCCACACATAGAAAGCCGCCTTTCTTTCACTTCTTATAGTGCTTCAACAGTCAAATACATACACAGTTAAAATGACATATACATACATCTTGGCTTATAACTTAAGTAAGTTGTGAACAGCTGGGAAAGAAAATGTGTGTGTATCAAACAACAACAGAAAAAGAGAAAATCACTCACTGATCTTGACTGACTAAATTTAGTAGCTTTATTAAGTATCAATGTATGAATGTTTAATTCATACAGTGAAGATATGCAGTTTGGTTATATTCCCCACCCCAAGCTCATGCCCATAAGTCAAATGAGAGTGATTTATTTTGTGACACATTAACTTTTTCACCATCTTTGTTTGATGGGGCAATTGAGATCAGTAATAACCTTCTAATTTGACTTTATCCTTTTAACTGAGCAATGTTGCAAAGATCTATATATACCTGTAGGCTCAGTTGTATCATAGACTGATAGTTGCTTACCATAGTGTGGTGGCACTGGCATGTGATTATTTATTTATTTATTTAAAGAGGGAGGAAATGCTCAAAAAGCAGGGCAAGCACACACTTCAGAAATAAGTAAGCTCTTTTTTTGGCCAGGAGCCAAAGGGTCTGTGGTAATGGAGGGTATTTCTTGATGTTTCCTGATGATATATCCCAAGGTTAACATATAAAACTTGAAAAGCAGTGGTCCTAGTACTGAGCCTTGTGGTACTCCATACTGTACTTGTGATCGATATGATAACTCTTCATTCACTGCTACGAATGGATGACGTCAGATAAGTACGATTTGCTCCATGCCAATGCAATTCCACTAATGCCAACATAATTTTGTAGTCTACTTAAAAGAGTGTTGTGATCAATAGTATCAAGCGCAGCGCTAAGATACAGTAGCACTAATAGAGAGATACAACCACGATCGAATGATAAGAGCAGGTCATTTGCAACTCTGATGAGAGCAGTTTCAGTACCATGATACGGTCTAAATCCTGACTGGAAAACCTCATAGATACCATTTTTCTCAAAGAAGGAACATAGTTGTGAAGACACTACCTTTTCTAGTATATTTGACAGAAATGGGAGATTCAAGATAAGTCTGTAATTAACTAATATTCTTTAGGGTGAAGTTTTTTACCCTAAAGAAGACTTAATAAAAGCCAGTTTGAAGATTTTTGGGACATATCCTAATGACATTGACAAATTAATAATATTCAGAAGAGGATCTATGACTTCTAAAAGCACCTCTTTTAGTAGATTAGATAATATTGGGTATAACATACATGTCGTTGTTTAGATGATTTAACAAGTTTATACAATTCTTCCTCTTCTATAGCAGAGAATGAGTGGAATTGTTCCTCATTGGATCTATAGAGGATTATCTGATGCAATAGTATCATTATTTGATAGTGATAGCATCAATTGGGAAATGTCTGTGCCTGCTGATGCTTTATTTTTCGTTAATTTAGCCACTGTATGGAATAAATGCCTGTCGCTGTGTTTGTTTTCTTCTAAAAGAGACGAAAAGTCAGCAGATCTAGCAGTTTTCTAGGCTTTTCTGTAGGAGGAAGTACTTTCCCTCCATGCAATATGAAATGCTTCTAGTTTTGTTTACTTGTTTTCACCATTTTCCAGGCAGCTCTCTTTAGGGCATGAGTGTGCTTGTTATACCAATGTGTCGGACTGTTTTCCTTAATCTTTTTTTAAGCGTAACGAAGCAACCATGTCTAAAGTGCTAGAAAAGAGAGAGTTCATAGTTTCATGCTGAGGAGACAAATCAGGAATATTATTTACAAAGTCTTTTGTCATAGAAGTGATGGTTCTACCATATTTGTAACAAGGAGTTGAGTTTTAGCTATATGGATTATGCACAAGAATAGATAATGATCTGAGATATCAATGCTCTGCTGCAGAATTTCAATGCCATTAATATCAATTCCATGTGACAGTATTAAATCTAGAGTATGATTACGATAGGTCCTCACATGTGTTGTCAATAGAGTTTAGAATGTCTATAAATGCTGATCCCAATGCATCTTTTTTATTATCTACATGGATATTATATTACACTAGATGATATTATATGAAGCACCATCGCTTCAAATGAAATGAACTTGAAATCAGACCTTTGACAAATATGGAAAATATTGCCATAAATTGTAGCAACACCTTCCCCTTTACTATTTGGACGCAGCTCATATTTATAACAGTAATCTTGAGGGGTAAAATCATTTAAAGTAATGTAATCACCTGGTTTTAGACAGGTTTCTGTCAAACAGAGCATATCTAGGTTATGATCCGTGATTGTATAATTTACAAAAAGCACTTTCGTAGAAAGGGATCTAATATTCATTAAGACAAGGTTTTTCATTTGTTTATCTGTCTTATATATGTTTTTTATTTGTTGAACATCAATTCAATTATTGCCCTTAAACTGGTTTGGGCATTTTTTGTATTTGCTAGTTCAGGAAACAGACACAGTCTCTATAGTATGATATCTAGGTGAAGGATTCTCTATGTATATTTACATTTCCAGAGAGCTTTCCTGGAACCAGAAGACCACAGTGTCCTCATACTGCCTGCATTTAAACAGAGATTGCTGATCCATCATTCTGTAATGGAGGCAACGAGACGAGAGACGTGCGGATCCATTTGCAGGCTTTTATTAAACAGAGACGTGGTCATAACAGGCATGGGTCAAACAGTGGCAAACAGGTACAGTTCAGGCAAGACAAAGAGTATTCCTAGGGCAAGCGTGGGTCTACGATCGGCGAACAATATCCAGAGGGCTTGACACGAGGGGTTATCCAATAACACAAGCAATAGTCCAGGCAAGGTGCAAACATAGTCCGAAACAGCAGCCAAAGGGTTAATCCAAGATACACAGGCAGAAGATCAGGAAACAGACAACAAGGCAACACGAAATGACTAGACTTAGACTAGAACTAGAAACGGAAAATTGGAATGGCTCCGTAATGTAGCTATCGTTAGAAGAGTGATATACGCTAAACAATACTCGGCGACTTGAGCAGGATCTGAGTGGAGTGGGTGTTATATAGTGTGTGTAATCGCTTTCAGGTGAGCGTGTGATTGGTTACAGCTGTGTGCAATCAGTGCAATGGATGATGGGAAATGCAGTCCAGGGTAATGTGTAACAGTCTGTGTGGTGTGAGAGTCAATGTAATGGGAGAGCGACCTCTGGTGGCAATCGGCCGGAAGGCCACGGACCGGATTCGTGACAGACTATCAAGTCAGCGCATTATTAGGAGTTGTGTAGAAGTATCTGCCAGCCATTTCTGTATTCATAAAGCAAATGTTTTGATACTCCAAGGAGCGGCTTCCACTCAATACAATCCAGGAGGGCAGTGGAGCGGAGGCGGAACAGGGGGAGGGACGGTGGGCCAAGTCCATGTGGAAATAGAGAGACTGGGGACTGAGGCAAAGCTGGCAGAGCAGAGCACCAAGTCGGAACAGGGAGCCAAGGTGGAGCTGGTGGAACAGAGGACCAGGGCGGAACATAGAGCCAGAGCGGAATCGGCAGAACAGGTGGAGCTGAGGACCACCACAGCAGAGCAGACAGGTCCGGAGATCCCCACGGTGGAGCAGAAGCCCACCAGGGTGGAGAAATCAAAGCAGGAGCCCACCAGGGTGGAGCAGACGGAGCAGAAGACCTACATGCGCGGAGGAGACCGAGTAGAAGCCCACCAGTGCAGAGCAGACAGAACAGTAGCCCACTAGGGCAGAGCAGACAGAACAGGAGCCCACCAGGGCGGAGCAGACTGAACAGGCAGAGCAGAAGACCGCCACGATGGAGCAGAAGACCACCAGAGCGGGACAGAAGACCACCAGGCTGGAGTAGATACCCATGGCAGAGACTGGGATCTAGGGAAAACTGAGACACACGAGACAGACAGAGCATTTATGGCCTCAAAGGCCAAGGCAGAGAACACAAAAAGTTCATTAATAGTTTCCCTGGTGACAACTGAACGGACAGACAGTTCATAAACAGGCTCATTGACTGAAACTGAACAGGCTGATAATTCACACTCAGGCTCATTAGTAGAGACTGGACAGACAGATAATTCAGAGTCGGGTCCATTAACAGTGACTGGACGGACAGACAGTTTATAATTAAATGCATTGGCTGGAATAGGACTGGCAGATAGTTCACAATCAAGGGCACTGACAGAGGCTGAAGTAGACAGTTCAGTGACAGAAACTGGCAAGACAGACAGTTAAAAATCAGACTCATTGAGGGAAACTGGACTGGCAGGTAGTTCACAAACAGATTCATGGGCTGATATGGGATAGACTGACAGCTCAAAATTTGTTGTATTAACTGAAGCTGGACTGGTAGACATTTCAGCGACTGAAACTGGACAGACGGATGGTTCAACAACAGACTCGATGACTAAATCAGGACCGACAGATAGTTCAAATTCAGACTCAACAGAAGCATTTAGACAGACAGACAGCTCAGGTTTAGATTCCTTGACAGAGACAGGCAAGACAGACAGTTCGAAATCAGAGACATTAGTTGAGACGAGACGGAGAGACAATTCACAATCAGCCACCATGGCTGGTTCAGAACAGGGCGAGGGTTCAGAGATGGCCTCCTCAGCCAGTTCAGAGTAGGACAAAAGTTCAAAAGCGGCTTCTGTTGCCGTGACGGGACAGGCAAAGAGCTCACAGACGGAGCTCCATAGCCGATACAGGACAGGCAAAGAGTTCACAGATGGCCTCCATAGCCGTGACAGAACAAACAGGAAGTTCACAGTTGGATACTACTGACACCTCTGGAGGTTCTGCAGCGGATGCCGCCACCTCTGGAGGTTCTACAGCAGTACCATCAGGAAATAGGGAGAGTTCATTAATATTCTCTTTAACAGGACAGGTACAGCGTTCATCAACGGTTCCTTCGACCACGACATGACAGGCTGAGAGTGCATTGCTGGGCGCCACCACCGTACAAGGAGCTGAAGCGAGCTCCGCCGCCTCGGGAGGTTTTGCAGCACCTCTTGAGAAGCTGCAGTGGGCGCCATCGCCTCTGTGGAAACAACAGCGAACTCCACTACCTTGGGAGGTTCTGTAGCATCAGCCGCCACCTCTGGAAACATCATAGTAGGCGCCGCTGTTTCGGAAGTGACGAGACTCTGGACGATCAGCTGTGACGTGACGTGACTCTAGACGAACAGCTGAGACATGACGTGACTCTGGACGATCAGCTGTGACGTGATGAGACTCTGGAAGATCAGCTGTGACATGACGTGACTCTGGACGAACAGCTGAGACGTGACTTGACTCTGGATGAATAGCTGAGACATGAAGCGACTCTGCATGAACAGCTGAGACGTGACGTGACTCTGGAAGATCAGCTGTGACTTGACTTGACTCATGGATGGCAGCTGTGATATGACGGAGCGTTGTTGTGGCTGCCATTTTGTGAACGGGCTCTGCTGTCGCCACCATTATGTGAGCGTGCTCCGGTGTGGCCGCTATTTCACGAGCGGGTTGAATCACTGGAGTAGCGATCAGTAAACTCGAATGCCCCTGAGTTTGTGGCTGACTAGATCTCGCGGCCGCCATTACCGGCCCGATCGCGATATCGCGTTCCTTCTCCGCGACACCCACAGTGAATAGAGAGCCAACAGTCAACAAAGCAAAGTCCAAAAAACAACTCAGTGACGAACGCGGACCCTCGCGTCTAAGCTCAGATCGTAGAGGTTGATTAAGGCCATCACAAAAAAACTCAATATATAATCAATAACTGACTCAACTGCGTTAAATACAATTGAAAACATAATCTGACTGATCATAAATACAACAGAATCAACCAATAAATTCCATAAGGCACTTCCATTCATAGATTAAATAAGGATTTGTTAATGTGTACATCTGTAAAGTTGTTCATTCATAAATGATGTTTTAGATGCTGTTAAATCAATATTATACATTTGGTAACACTTTATTTCGATAGTCCACTTTAGACATTCTATTACCAGTAAGTAACTTTGCAACTACATGTCAACTAGCAGTTAGTAGAGTATTAGTTAGCTGTCTGCTTAATATCTTCTAACACTTTCTTTGTCAACTTATTCTACTAACCCTAAACCTACCCTAACAGTCTACTCTGAGAGTTAGTAGACATGTAGATGCAAATTAATGAGAATTAGTTGACATGTAGTTACAAAGTTACTTATAGTTAATAGAATGTCTAAAGTGGAATATCAAAATAAAGTGTAACCAAATACTGTAAACTAAGGAGCACTTTTGAATTTTTTTATTTATTTATTATTATTTTTTTTTTTACAAATGAACACCACATCCTGAAGCACCATGTAAGAATGGAACAAGAGCAATTTTCAAGCTGTTCCACACCCAAAATTATTAAATCATTTTCAAATACTTGAAATGATGTGTGTGAGTCATTTGTACTACATCTATGATACTGTAATGTCTTGTAATGAGTTTTTCCAAACTTAATGGTTTATCAACAGATCTTTCTTACACTTACCTCACTTATTCTGGTTCTATTTAAGATCCAAGTTTTGGGTGTACTGCAGTTTGTTTAAATTGACTTATTTAAAAAAAGACAAAGATATCAGTTACAAATCAGTTTTTCTACTACTGAAAATGATAGCATAGGATGCAACTTTGCAATATGTCTAAAGGAGAAAAAAAAAAGAAGTCCTAACTGTATGTTTCACAAATCAGTGAAATTAAAAAAAAAGAATTTAATATCACCCTTCCAAGATCAAGATCATTTGGTTTTATTTGAAACTCTAGTACAGAGCCATCAATAGTTAGAGGTACAGTGTTATGGAGCTGGTGAGGTAAGCTGAGAAGCATAATCTTCAATCTTATCACTGTTTAGACAAAGAACATTGTTAGCCATTATTTTTATTTTTGTCAGAAATACATTTAAAATAAATGAATCAGCCAGACTTACAAGTCAGATCTACCTAAAATTGGTGAAGGCTACCATGCAAGGTGCCATAACCCAACCATCAGGAGCAAGTGATGTTCAGTGTCTTGCCCAAAGACACTTCATCAATTGGTTAGTTTTGGTGAAACTGGGATTCAAGCTGGGAATCCTAGTCAACCTATCTCCAAGTCAACATATCTACTCCCTGAACCAGTGTTGTTCATCCACAGCAGATTGTGTTCTCCCTGTTCCAACTCTAGATCAGTGGTTCCCAATTCCAGTCCTTGCGACCTCCTGCTCTGCACATTTTGTATGTATCTCTTACACTTCAGATATTTGTTCTATTTGACCGTAAGTGCTTTGTAAAGTGGACATCCCAGGATATTTCACCATGATTCCAGTTGGAATGGAGTGTATATGTTCCATTTAAAGGGCATTAATGTGTGCGAGATGTGAATTTAAATTGTATTTATTTACACAGGTGTATATTATGTCACTTCTCTAGTAAGTTTTATCAGTGTGTGAAGATGCTGCAGGCTGCGGCATAGCGCAAATCCGTGAACGATTGTTCTGAAGTGAAGTAAACTTCAGTGGATTTCCCATGCTCAGGGAGTAGGGAGCAATCAACACTGTGGTAGGGACCATGTCAATCGGAACAGAATTAATTCATGAAGCTCTCTTACAACGAGCTGGTTATCTGAGTTAGGTGTGTTAAATAAGAGAGACATGCAGGGCTGCCAACTTGTGCCAAAATGTATTATTATAATTTTTTTTTTTTTGCCAAATTGCTTTTGGGTTTTCTTACGGTTTTCTACGAAAACACGTTGTAAATAGAATCTTTTGGCGATTTCCAGAGCGCAAACGCAAATGCGCACAGGAGCCTTTACCAAATCTGTTTCACCAATATCCTATTATTACAGTTGGATGTGAGGGGTGAGAAAAGTGTCAGCGTGAGAGTTGGCAGCCCTGGACATGCAAAATATGCAGAGCGGTGGTATGCAAGGACTGTAATTAGGAACCACTGCTCTAGATCAGGGGTGCCGAAAACTCCTGGGGGGCCACTGTCTTGCAGTTTAGCTCCAACTTGCCTCAGCACACCTGCCTGGAAGTTTCTAGTATGCTTAGTAAGACCTTGATTAGATGGTGCAGATGTGTTTAATTGGGGTTGGAGCTAAACTCTGCAGGACACTGGCCCTCCAAGAGCAGGACTGGATACCTAGATAATAGCATAAATGTATAATACACTGTGGATGGAAACGGTTCAAAGTGGAGAACAAAGAAAAATTCCAGTGACAATGTGGTCCAGAAGAGTAGCTGAATCATCTACACTCTGCTCAAAGGACAGACACAAGGATTTTACAAAACTCTAGAACTGAGAAAAGCTACAGCTTGTTGTTCATCTCTTCTAGGAACATCAAAAAAAGTGATGGAGTACAACCTTCCCAGGGAGTGCATCCAAAAATTCTTCCCCTCCAGGACGTGCTTCACGTTCCCGTTTCCAACCGCCCCAGAGAACGTGTCTCGTCTGGAGAGATTGGATCATATTGCTCAGTCATTTTGTTTGACTTCTTTCCTACATTTTAAAAAGTTTTGGGTCATCTAGCAAAAACATACGTAGACACCATCTCTAGTGGGGCTGTGCCGTGTCTGGAGAATGCTGTGATCGCCATGGCAATGATTGAGAATCAAGCTGCGGTGAAGGAGGGGCTTGAGGTGTACCAGAGTGGAATGGAGAAGCTGAAGAACTCCTTCCCTCTGGAATTAAAGGTTGTGTCCTCGGAACACCAACGTCTCAGCAGCATGGCAACACAAACCTTCATGACTCGATCTTTCAGGGACACTGACGGGAAGCACCTGAAATCTCTAGAGGTTAGCTGGATCTCTCTCTGAGGAGGTCCTTTGAGCTTACTGATAGAGAGATGTTCTTTCAGAGTAGTGAATGAGATCTGGACATTCTCCCTGATTCCATCTTCTCATATATACCATTCTGTGCTGACAGTGTTATTCCAAATAAACAACCCCTAAGTCACCAAAGAACTGAAACACTGTATGTTTTTTAGGAAAAAGTTAATGAACTCTTTGATGGATACCTGGGCCAAAATGAGCAAGCTTCAAAGAAAAGATGCGAGGATCTCCTGTCATCCCTCTCAGCAACAATGACTGAAAAACTCAAACAGGGCGTCTATGCTAAATCTGGTGGCTATGATCTCTTCTGCAAGGATCTGGAGGACATTGTGAAGAAATACAACAGCCAGACCAATAAAGAAGTCAAGGTCTTGTCTATATCGCACAACTTAATGACATTTTAAAACATTTTGTTCTGATACAGCTTCTAAGGTCTGTGTGTGTCAACAGGCTGAAGCGGTCTTAAAGGTGTTTCTGAAGCAGAAGACTGTGGATTCTAAAGCTATTCTGCAGGCCGACAAAAAACTGACTGAGAAGGAAAAAAAGATTAAAGGTAAGAGTTCCCCATTCTTTACTTGTGAAAGAAGTGCTCAAAGGTTTACGTACTTGATAAGCTTCAAATGCAATAAATAGCACTAACAAGTAGCAATAAATAAAACAAAGTCTTTCACAAAAGTGTAATGAATAATTAAAAATATTTTACCTTGCAGTTTATATCGGCCTTACAATAAAATAGACCGTTAATCTCATGGTTTGAGTCTTTTCTCTATCTGTAAAGCATCTCTTTTCTTCTTCTTCTTTTTTGTCAATGAGCAGAGGAAACAGAGAAAGCCATACTCCTGGAGCAGGAAATCAAAGCTAAAGAGGAGGCGCAGCGACAGTTACTAGAGAAGATGGAAGCAGAAAGACAGAGTAATGAAGAGAGGATGAGACAGATGAAGGAGAAGATGGATGAGGAGATGAGGCTTCAGAGAGAGGAGGCCGAGCGTGCCATGGACAGCAAACTGAGAGAGCAGGCCGCTCTGCTGGAGAAGGGCTTTCAGGAGAAGGCTGACAGGATGAGCCAGGAGATGGAAGCGTTCAAGAGACAGAACACTGAAGCCGAGAGTAATAGAGCTCGAGAGTTTGCAGAGCTGTTGGAGAACTCCAACAAGAGACATGAGGAGTCTATGGCTATGATGATGCAGCAGCACCGTGAACAGATGAAGGCTTTACAGCAGCAGATGAGTGCGCGCTGTTCAGGTGGATGTTGCATCTTGTGAAATGCATTGAGAGGCATGTAATCGTACAATGCAATTTACTTACTGTAAAATGAGTTTGTACCTCTACATATAACAGTATTGTTTCCATATACAGTTAAACTACAATTAAATTGAGTGCTATCATTATTCAGATATGTAATTGACCCTTCGCAAAGACCTGCCCGCTTAGTTACCGTTTTGTGGCTCTTTAATGTGTTGTGACGTATCGCTGTAGCGTCTCAGATCAAGCAGCACATGTTCCTTTATTACTAGTTATAGCACAAAATAAACATGAATAAACATCAGAAGGTATTTTGTATCTCAATTCAACCACAGAGAGACAATACACACCACTTTTCAAGTTCAAGTCCACTGAAGTTAATCTACTCTCCTTTCTGGTTTGTTTGACCGACAAAATGGCAGATTCTGCGTTATGATTGGTCAGACCTCCTGTCAATCAAACTCCCGGGGGAAGGGTGAATTGAGGCAAATTAGTTAATTACACATTTAGATTCTCATTTTCTTTGTTCATCTTTTCTCTGAATCTGACGTCTGTATACTCCACTGAACTATACAAATAAAAATAATGACGTCAAGGGAGATTGTCAAAATATGCAACATAAGTTAGGCTCAAAATGTAGGAAAGAGGAGGCTAATGTGCATAGGCTGATTAACTATATGGACAACTGGGCAAGTTTTCAGGGGGGCACAATGCAAACGGTTTCTCCAAGACAAGCGATGCATTTACAAACATCTTTCTTTGAATGATTTCCCAAAAGTTCCCTCCCGCTCCACGTAATATCTGCTCTATCCCCGGATCAATGCATTAAAGCATTTACGCTGGGAGCATGCTGTGCTGTGACGTGTCCCATTCAGAGAAACACCACAGTCATGCATTATGTATTATGCAAAAAGTATGTTTTTAACTTAATTTTCAGTTCAAAACGTCTCAAAATTACATAGCTATCCACCTTTTTTTGCAACACAGAAGCTCTTTTCTGTGAATGTGAGAGACTTCAAATTCATTAGCTGCTAATTACCTTTTTCCTAACGAGGCTACTGCATTTCTGGTTTGGAGAAGTTCCCCTCAAAAGACTGAAACAAATCATTTCAAAATCATTAGGTTGTGATATGTTAAGTAATATGATAAATATAAGTAATATGATAAAAAATACTAGTTTCCAGTATGAAGTAGTATAACGAGCCGTTTTAAACAGCTACAAATAACTGGAAGTGGATGACATCCAAAGAACATTCCAGTTACAATGGTCATGCCGCTGTTACATAAAAATTAAGTTGGATAGTGTAATAGATGTGTATTGCACACAAGGCCATGTAGCTTTGGAGAACAAATCATACTTGTCTATTTTTTTTTTTTTACTTTTTTTGAAGGGAGCAAAACATTTGAAAATTATTTTGTTCATTAAATATACGCGAATGAGCTGAGGACAACAATGACTCAAAAAAGACTACCAGCATTTTGTTTGTTGGTCACAGATCTGAAATGGTTAACAGTTTGGATTTTCAGGATGTGATGTGAATAACCCATTATAACTGCAATATTAAATGGGACCTATTACGCCACTTTTTACAAGATGTAATAAAACTCTCTAATCGCTTAAATCTGATCGCTCAAACCACTTCAGGAGGTGGTATAATCTTAATAATAATCGTAATTCAAAGGTAAAACAAGATTTTTTTTGCCCCAAAACTAACAGAATTTTGATACAGTTTTCAATAAAAAATACATAATATCTTAAGTCATTTTGCAAAACAGGTAAAAAATACTAAGTAATAAAAAAATTTTTTTTTTCAGTGAGTTAGCCAAGCTGCAACCAGCCAAAACTGAAAGTAATATTTAGATATTGTTTTTTATAGTGTGCTTAAATAAAAAAATAAATAAAACTTAGCTAGCTAGCAAACATGAGCAAACAACCAAGCCAATACTAATCAAACTTTCAATTAGCAAAATATCTAGCCTTGGCTAACAAAGCATAAACTTTCCTGCGTTATTGGTGTTGGTGGAGCTTAGGGTCATAGTTGATTTATTCTTCTACATGATGTTATCATCAGACCATCATATGAATGTTGACCCTAAGTTGTCTGAAGACAGCATCATGTGAGAGAATAAATCAATGATGACCTGTGGTCAACGTTCATATGATGGTCTGAAGAAAACATTTAAGAGAATAATCAATAAGGACTTGAGTTCAGCAGTCATATGATGGTCTGATGACAATGTCATAGAAAAACATAAATAATGACAGCAAACTTTCAGAATGTGTCACTATCACTCACAAGGCCTGTTCAAACCAAGTACAAAAACGATAACTATATAGTTCAAAAATCATTTTGAATTTAAGAGAATAGCAGAGTCCAAACCAATTTTAGACTTATTTCAGAACTTCCTTTTTTGTCTAAGATCTTAGAGAAGATTGTTCTAACTCAATTGCAGAGCTTTTTGGATCAGAATGCTATTTATGAGGTTTTTCAATCAGGTTTTAAGGCCTACCATAGTACCGAGTCTGCACTGTTAAGAGTACTAAATGATATATTATTATCAAGGGACTCAGGACACTCTGTGGTTCTTATGCTTTTAGACCTTGTGCAGCATTCGACACAATAGACCATGGGATTCTTATCTCCCGTATTGAGGAGGTGGTTGGCATTCAGGGTTCTGCTCTCGATTGGTTTGGATCATTCTTATCGAATAGGAGTTTTTTTTGTCAACATTGGTCAGACTTTTTCATCCTCTGTACCACTGACATGCGGGGTTCCTCAAGGGTCTATTCTTGTCCCTATTTTATTCTCGTTATATATGTTACCTTTAGGGTCAATTTTTCGTAAATATGGAATTGCTTTCCATTTTTATGCTGATGACACACAAATGTATATGCCCTTTAAAGGGGTCATAGGATTCTTTAGGATCTTAATGAAAAGTCTATAACATACTTTGGTTAAAATGTCTGGTAACACTTTCTGTGAAGCCCGTATTTATAATACATTATAAGGGTATTCTTAAGGCATTATAATGAATGCATAATGCATTATAAAAAAACTTATATGTTATATCAACTCATGAATAATCATAACAACAGTTATAATACATCATAATACTTACGTATTTGTGGTTATACGTTTAAGAGTATTATTTATAACACACAATGAACACTTTATTTTGATGGTCCCCTTAATCAATCGACTATAAGCAACTTTGCAAATGCATGCCAACTAACTCTCATTAGAGTATTAGTATGCTCAAGAATGGTATAATCTAGTATGGTAGAGTAAGCTGACGTACTTGCAAAGAGTCAGTTTATCTGTTGGTTGACCATCAAAATAAGTGTTAGCATATATTTAAAGTAGCAGATATACTAATACTCTAATGACCACTAGTTGATATGTAGTTGCAGAGTTACTTATCAACAGCTGTCTAAAGGGTACCATCAAAATAATCAAACTGATATTACAATAAAAATAGTTCAAAGCAAATGTG